GGTAGCACAGTTTAACGAGGACCAATACCGCACACCCTCGGTCCCTACGCAGACTGATCCAAGTGGTCACCCACCCGCACACTGACCGCAGCCAGTGATGCTTGACTTCGGTGATCTGCTGGGAACCGTGTCTTAACGATCAGTCCACTGCGGGACTCGTATAAGTTGCATTCTTTGTTTTAAAAAAAATCTTGAACTATTTACTATATTTCCTGACTTATTTATAAAACATTATGGAATACAATTATTTAAAATGAGTAAACTTTTTTTCTATAAAACTAAGCATAACTATGGTAAAATAAGTAGTTTTCACATCGTAAAGTTGTAGTTTTTGTCTTTGAAAAAAGCCCTTGAACTATTTACTATATTTCCTGACTTATTTATAAGACACTATAGAAAACAATTATTTAAAATGCGTTTATATTTTTTGGATAAAAGTATGGAAAAACAAGTATTTTTCACATCGTATAAGTTGCTGTTGTTGCTGTGTTGCATTCTTTGTTTTTAAAAAAATCTTGAACTACTGACTATATTTCCTGACTTATTTATAAGACATTATAGAATACAATTATTTAAAATGAGTAAACTTTTTTTCTATAAAACTAAATAAACCTATGGATAAATAAGTAGTTTTTACATGGTATAAGTTGTAATTTTTGTCCTTAAAAAACTCCTTGAACTACTTACTATATTTCCTGACTTATTCGTAAGACATTATAGAAAACAATTACTATTTAAAATACGGATAAATTTTTTGGATTAAAGTAAATAAAACTACGGAAAAACAAGTAGTTTTCACATCGTATAAATTGTAGTTTTTATCTTTAAAAAAAATCCTTGAACTATTTACTATATTTCCTGACTTATTTATAAGACACTATAAAAAACAATTATTTAAAATGCGTTTATATTTTTTGGATAAAAGTATGGAAAAACAAGTATTTTTCACATCGTATAAGTTGCTGTTGTTGCTGTGTTGCATTCTTTGTTTTTAAAAAAATCTTGAACTACTGACTATATTTCCTGACTTATTTATAAGACATTATAGAATACAATTATTTAAAATGAGTAAACTTTTTTTCTATAAAACTAAATAAAACTATGGAAAAATAAGTAGTTTTTACATGGTATAAGTTGTAATTTTTGTCCTTAAAAAACTCCTTGAACTACTTACTATATTTCCTGACTTATTCGTAAGACATTATAGAAAACAATTACTATTTAAAATACGGATAAATTTTTTGGATTAAAGTAAATAAAACTACGGAAAAACAAGTAGTTTTCACATCGTATAAATTGTAGTTTTTATCTTTAAAAAAAATCCTTGAACTATTTACTATATTTCCTGACTTATTTATAAGACACTATAAAAAACAATTATTTAAAATGCGTTTATATTTTTTGGATAAAAGTATGGAAAAACAAGTATTTTTCACATCGTATAAGTTGCTGTTGTTGCTGTGTTGCATTCTTTGTTTTTAAAAAAATCTTGAACTACTGACTATATTTCCTGACTTATTTATAAGACATTATAGAATACAGTTATTTAAAATGAGTAAACTTTTTTTCTCTAAAACTAAGTATAACTATGAAAAAATAAGTAGTTTTCACATCGTATAAATTGTTGTTTTTGTCTTTAAAAAACTACTTGAACTACTTACTATATTTCCTGACTTATTCATAAGACATTATAGAAAACAATTACTATTTAAAATGCGGATACATTTTTTGGATTAAAGTAAATAAAACTATGGGGAAATAAGTAGTTTCACATCATATAAGTTGTAGTTTCTTGTCTTCAAAAAAATCCTTGAGCTACTACATTTCCTGACTTATTTACATATGAAAAATATTATTTAGGTAGTTTCGGAAGAAGTCAAATATTTAAAAAAAAAATTGCTCCTATTCAAGAGGGAAGACAGTAACTAAAACTTAAACTTCCCACCTAACTTAACGTTGATTAAACTTCTCACGAAGTTTGTATAAATTAAAATAGTATCATATCTATCAGGAAATTTCTAAATGCTTTATCACAATCATAGACGTAGACGTCAGCACTTACGCCTATCGGAAGGTGAGATCCTTACGACCATTAGACGGATTTTAGTTGCATAGGAAAAACGGAAATGCTCTGTAATATTAACGTGCATTCGCTGTTGAAATTTTTTATAAATTCTGCTTTCAACAAGTCTTTTGTATAAGAACTTATATTTTAGAATATATTTGCTTTATAAAAAGTAAGCATAAATTTTTTACTATAAGCTTCCTACGCAGACAGTAAACTTACGTAAGCGATGCTTTTCAAATAATTTATTTTACCAGACTATGTTTTTAATAATCAATAAAGGATTTTCCTTTCTTGCGTATATTTGAAATTTTATTAATAGTATTTGTATTTTCCAATTTAAGAGCAAATAGATTGATAAATAATTTTTTAAACTAATATTGTGAATATAAATTTGGAAAATTATTGATTTAAATTTTGAGTCATTCTAAATCAGTTTCTTATTGAATATTTTAAAAATATTGCTTTGATAATATAAAAATATCAATGTAAAATTCGATCCGTGTTAGCTAATATCAACGCCTACATTTTTAAAGGATTTCCAATTTAAATAAGGTGATAAAAATATCAATATAAAATTCAATTCCTGTCAGCTTGTATTAGCAGCTACGTTTTAAAGGATTTTTAATTTATAAATGATAGTAAAAATATGAAAACAAAATTGAATTCTTGTCAGCTTATATTAGCAACGACGTTTTAAAGGATTTTTAATTTATAAATGATAGTAAAAATATGAAAACAAAATTCAATTCTTGTCAGCTTACATTAGCTTCTACGTTTTAAAGGATTTTTAATTTATAAATGATAGTAAAAATATCAATATAAAATTCAATTCTTGTTAGCTTATATCAGCAGCTACGTTTTAAAGGATTTCGAATTTACAAGATTTAAATTTGCCATCAAGAAATAGATATCAATAAACTGAAATAGTTTAATTTTGTTGCAATTTTTTCGGTAATCTGTACATCTCTGAGATGATCTTAAAATAACTGTCTAAGCAGTTCTGGGGCATGATGCAGAGATCTTTATAAGTATAAATGGTATAAATGCTGAAAGACGCATATGTTAATAAAAATATCTTTTTCTTAATATATGACAAAAATAAAACATTAATATAAATGCTTTGTAATCAAAATCTTTTCTTAACATTCATTACATAATTTTAAAAAAATTAAACATCTTGATATATCTTGTCCCGAAATTACATAATTACATTTCAAAACATAATTTTTGTATTATTAAATATTTCATTTGTAACTGCATAAGATACTAGCAAAATTAAATACGTAAGTAAATGAAGTCATACAATAGTCATAAATACTACTCTAGGCATGCTGATAAAAGGTGCTACGAACTATATCTGACTCAGAAAGAAAAAAAGAATTGATTTCTGGGCAATCTTCTCTCAATAAATCATCCACCTCGTATATGCCTAAATAAGGAAAACCTCTAGTTTGGAACTAAGTTTTGTATTTTTGGAAAAAAGTCGTATGCTTACAAGTTCTACTCCATTGACTGATTTCGTTCAAATTTTTTATATTATCATTTATAATTATTACTTTCAGATTATGTAAAATCTTGTATATCTTACATTTCGAAATTTTTCATCTATTATAAAATAAAATAAAATTCAACAAATAACCATAAAAAATTATTTTTTGTGTGGAATTATCTTTGTACCATAGTAGAATAGATGACCCCATTTTTGGGGTTTACGACTACTAATGTTCAACTCCATAGCCTTGTCATTTTGAACCCAATCCAGAAGACAAGGGAACTCTTAGATCAAGTATTGGGAGAAATTTGCATTCGTGGAGAACTTTTTCAATGAAACTAACACGCATTTGCACGTTTATCTATCATTGTTTTTCTAAAGTCCTAGGTGATTTTTGGGAATTCGATATTTGTAATTTATTCTATTTAAGGTTTTCAGCATTTTTTTTTCCAGTTTTATTTATTTTAGTTAAATATTGTAACAACTTGTCAGTTTTTTTTAATTAATTTGTAACGTATTATAATCAAGTTTTGTGAAAATTTGTCAGTTTCATAATAATTACGATCAAGTTTTAGATACTATTACCGATGAGTTAAAACACTGAGTTAGGGATTATGAGCAGCGATTTTGACTCGTTGTAATTAACAATAAAATCATATTTAAAATTCGCCATCTTTTGAAATAAATTTGCAACATTTGATCAAGAAACAAAAAAAAAACATTTAAAAAAATAATTTTGTTTTTCTTTTAGAAAGATAATATTTGTGTCCTCAAAATGGAGCTATCATTGACTGAAAAGGAAGCCCTGGAAGAAGTAAGTCTCAATATATTGCCTAATGACAAATCTTTATTTACAGGATGTTCCGTAAAGACCGTAATTAATATATATTTTTGAAACATTTTATATTTTATTTTACAACCGTCGTTGAAAAGCCAAACCCAATTTTTCAGTTTACGACTACCAATGTTCTACTCCGTAGCCTTGTCATTTTGAACCCAATCCAGAGGACAAAGGAACTCCTGGATCAAGTATTGGGAGAAATTTTTCCTTCGTGGAGGACTTTTTAATGGAACTAACCGCATTTGCGATACATGGAGAGAAAGATCACTAGAACCTCCCACTGTTAGCCTGACGGCAACGGGAATCTATCCCATGCTCCGTCTACTACTGAGGATATTTCACGTCAGCACTGTGGGCGGTGCAAGCCATGTGAGTAATTCGAATCGACCAGCCATCATCACTGGGATTCGAACCCGGTTCACCTCACTAGAAGGCGGGCGCTCTATCCCTTGAGTCACCACGGCTCCTGATGACACATTGTCAAAAGTGAAATAAAAAAATATATATACACTAAGGGAAGTATGTTGATATTCATGCGAGGGAAAAACACTCTTGAAATCTAATGAATCATTATTGAGGAAGACGGGACTGTAGACATCAAAACCTGTTTGCTTGTCTGATAAAACTTAGTCTTAAGAATTGCCTTGCTACTCCATCCTGTTTCCTCTAGAAGTCAAACAGGTATTTAAATGCATTAACTACGAATTGCTCAATACAGTTTCACAAAAACAGCAGCTTACAATTACTAATATGCATCTTTTCGATTGTTCTGTCGATTTCTCTACCATGCAGATATTAAGTTTATTATTCTAAAGATCGAAATTTCTGTGGAATAAAATAACTGGAAAATCTAGAGAAATTCATAAATTTTTAGCAGAGTGGACATAAGTTAGCACTAAAACTCGAAAAATTTTGGTAGGAACATTACTTAGCTAATCTGCAGATTAACTTGGATATTCCGTTAAAGCGCGGAATCAAGAGTATTCCGTTGCTTGACCATTAACGGTTTCCATTTCATGAAATTTCAAAAGTTCATTTCTCTAATTCTATTAAATTCTTTGTTGACTATAATGATTGGCTTGATTCCTTAGATATCGAAAAATAAATAAAGAGCATAATGTCAGTTCCCACAATTGGGTACTTCAAAAAAAAGAAGATCACGATACCCACACATGTGATCTATGACGTCAGTGCCAGCTGATTAGCAAACTTTTATGTCAAAGTTGAGCTAAGTTTCTCCACACTAGTTAGAATGTTAATTAACGTTGAAAATAAATAAATACAGCACCGTATCACGCATGAAATTTGTTGAAATATAATTTTTTCTCGTCTGGCGCCTTTCATTCAACTTAGATTTATTATTTGTTTATGTCTTTTATTGTTATCGTGATATAATTTTGTTTTGCGTATCTGGCAACTTCGATGCATAATCAGTTTATATTCTGCATGGCTTCGTGCCTGTCTTTGTGTTAAGTAAGAAATATATTGTGAAAGACAATTATTGTGAAAGAATCTTTCTGAACGATTGTATAACGTGTCCCCTGAGAGAATTGATTCTTGAAGGGCTATGCCTTCTTGAAATTGAATGGAAAGTACAGTTGCCAGAATAACCAAATGCCACGTTTAAACAACCAATCAGGAATGATATATTCACACTACGTCACACTTGTAGGTATCCCATTATAACATTATTTTAAGTCATTAAATTCTTTGTATTATTTTTCAAGTGAACGATGATTTATTCTACAAAATAATATGTTGATTGCTCGTCACTTTATTTCTTAGAAAGCAAAAAATAAATAAATAACATTTACGTTCATTTAAGCGTACAAAAACATTACTATTGTTCCGTCTAAGATCTTTTTTTTTTAAAGATTGCCCAGTAAGGTAATCTAGATAGTTTGCTGATTACTTTAATTTGAAAAATGAAATTTAATAATTAATTTTAATTTCTTAATTTGCGAAATGAAACATATTTTAGTCCTTTAACGAATCATTTATGTGAAAGTAAGGTTATCTAGGTAGTTTGCTGATTTCTTTAATTTGAAAAATGAAATTTAATAATTAATTTTTATTTCTTAATTTGAGACATGAAACATTTTTTAGCCTTTTAACGGATCACTTATGTGAAAGTAACATTATCTGGGTAGTTTGCTGATTACTTTAATTTGAAAAATGAAATTTAATAATAAATTTTTATTTCTTAATTTGATACATGAAACATTTTTTAGCCCTTTAACGGATCACTTATGTGAAAGTAAGGTTATCTAGGTAATTTGCTGATTTCCTTAATTTGAAAAATGAAATTTAATAATTAATATTTTTTTCTTAAATTGAGAAATGAAACAGTTTTTTAGCCTTTTAACGGATCACTTATGTGAAAGTAACATTATCTGGGTAGTTTGCTGTTTCTTTAATTTGAAAAATGAAATTTAATAATTCGTTTTTATTTCTTAATTTGAGAAATGAAACATTGTTTTAACCCTTTAACTGATCACTTATGTGAATCTACTTATTACCTAGATAATCTGTAGAACAATTGATTTCTACTTTGTACCAGTAACTGATAAAGAGATAACAGGTCGTATAGGTTCATTTACAAGAAAGTGATGAACACAGATGCAAATAAAAGATTTCGTAATGGCACGTGTGCATTTTTTTTTTTTTTTTTTTTTTGATAAAAATATTACGAGCACGAGAAGTCTCGTTTTTTTCCGCGTGCATCATGGAATTAAAAAAAGAAGAAAAAGGAGTATTGGTGTTCGCGACCAGGGACATGTTAAAAAAAGGGTGGATAGACTTACCTAGATGAGTGAGGCGTTGACCCCAATGCATTCTATTTTACATCGAATAAAATAAAATTCTTCTCGAGACGATAAGTTAAGAGGTTTTTGAGTAGATAATCTTATGATGTAATGTCAGGTACGATAACAGGTGGAATTAAGAAATTTTTATTTTTAGTGTATAAAACTTAAATAACTCTTCGATTCAATGTAAAACCTTTCTATCTACGCTTTTCTTTTTCTACAAAATACAATCGAACCTCGCTAACTCGAACCTCGATTTCACGAATTTTTCGATATCTCGAAGAGAAAAAATTCCCTTCAAATTTCCTATACACTCAATGTTAAGAAAAACTTGATTTCACGAAATTTTTTTTTTCTAATCCCTTGATAACTTGAATTTTTTTCTCCATAAATAGTGTAGATTTTTTTTTCCGAAAATAAAAAAATATTCCAAAAAAAATAAAAAATTTTAAGAATAGAAAACCAATTTTCATAATAATAAACTTTAAAAAAAAATGGACATAGAGGCGTCAGTGGCATGGGATGATGTGTGTCTCTCTACAATAATGAATGGCTTCAAGTAGGCTGGATTCATTAAAGATCACGAAAGTAGTCAAACAATCAATATCGTTAATTCTGCTGAAAACTACACCGAAAATGATTGGGACAGATTGACCGGACTCATGAAACTTGATGACATGGAATTTCATGACTTTGTAAACGTAGATGGTGCAGTAACAGTGTGTGTTCAGTGGCATGACAATGATATCATCGCTCAAACGAAATCTTCTTGTGAACTATCAGAAGAAGAGGATGAGGAAATCGAAGATTTACCACCCAATTATGTAAAATACTGTAAGGAGATTTATTTGAGAGGCAGTCAAATATGTCAGAGAAGACATTTAAAGCTATAGTCCACTTAAAAAGTGTTATAGACAAACTTTCTTAACACATCTCTAAAGCAAACAACAATTGAATCTTTTTTTAAATGAAAGTGTAAAAAGTGTTTTTAGAATACATATGGAATAGTAAATAAGGTCTGTAAAGAGCATTTTTGTTTATTCTACCATCGATAACATGCGATTTTCGATAATTCGAATTTTCGGTATCTCGATTTTTTTTCCCTCTCCCTTCAAGTTCGAGATATCGAGGTTTGACCGTATAAGGAAATCTAAGTACGTAAAAACTCGATATAAAGGCATATTACGAAAAAATGCGAAAAAGATACAAAACAGCGAATTTTTTTTCCCGGTGTTTTTTTTTTTTTTTTTTTTTTTTTTTTTTTTTTTTTTTTTAATGATCAGCCTTCCGACAAAATGTTTTTTAGGGAAATACATTTTTCTGCTGTGAAAAGGTTTGAATGTTTTGTTTATTTCTGACAGTGGTCGGAGAACTACATTATTTTTGTAGTTTAATACAACTAATTTTTATTTTTTCTAACGGCATTCAATGTACCTAAAGTGAGAACAAAATAAAAATTGCAGATTTTTTTTTTAATAACAAGTTTAGTGTCTTGTTTAGACATTATTACTTCAATCAAAATTTACTCTAATCCAGTCTTCTATTACGGAATTATATTTCAAAATTCCACAAACTTGGTGCGGAATTAAAAGAATGCAATGACGTGCATACCCCGCCATGCAATTTAAAAATCAAGGTAAATGACAAAAAATTTAAAATTGAGATTTTTACATATTTGGCATCTTAGTACGGTAAGCTACATATTGCAAAAAAAAAAATATATATATATATATATATATTTTATTATTCTTTGCATATTTTTTTCCCCGTAATGTGTCTGGAGAAAGAAAATGTTTTCTCATTTAAAAAATAATGATTACTTAGTATTTATAATTGATTTGCCTTTGTTAATATTTTGTGTGTTGTATTTGTTATATAAATTTTTCTTTTCACTATTAGTACCAAGGTGTCTATTAAAATTAGCCACTTATTGTGCTTGGAATGAATTTTATTAAATATTGGTAATTAGTTGTACCCATTTTTTTTGTCTGCTACTGCTGGGTTGTCCCACAAACTTGGTGACTATTTGACTGCAGGTACCAAGTCAAAATCTTTCCNAAAAAATACTACCCTATTAAATTATATGTGTATCAAAACAAACTAAAAAAATATTTATAGAAAAACAATACTTTTATGACTTCTATTATTTTTATGCTAGTGAGAACCAAAACAATATGGAAATGAATGAGGGAAAACTGGATCCTAACACGTGATTTTCCGGACAAAAAAAATGTACCGTTAAACGTTTAACGCAACCTTGTTGGAAGTCGCATAAGAAGTATAACTTCAAAAAAAAAAAAAAAACATTTCAAAAATAAATTTTGTTTTATTATTTTTTTGAAATTCTATTTTAGCGTTCATAGCATTAGGAATAGAAAGAAAATAGTCGTCAAACTAACTTTTCTAAGAATCAATCGTGAAGCACTTAAGTTGTTTTTTGAATTGCGCGTTAGTACACAGCGTATTGGACTAACGCGCACAGTTAGTACACAGCGTATTGGACACAGCGTTAGTACACAGGTCGTTAGAACACAAGTAGTATTGGAACGCAGGGCAAAGAGTCCTATTACAAATTTTGCGAAAAACGGGAAAGGATCAGATGTTTATTTAATAAAAAAAAAATTACCAATTTATTTCTGAAAAGGTCACTGTTACTGAAAACGTGTTAAAAATTGCGAGAAAAAAAATACTTAAGATTCAATATATTAAAAAACGAGGCAAAACGCGGAAGGGAGAGAGTTATGGGACAAACGCTTCAAATTTTGGTACTTAGCTACGGTCCAGCACAGTAACTACAAATTACAATAAAATACCTAAGCAAATAATAAATCTAAGCTAAGTAAAAGACATATACGAAAAAGAATTATATTTCAACAAATTTGAGAAGCGATACGGCTCTGTATTAATTAATTTCACGTTAATTAGCACTCTAACAAATGTGTTGAATCTTAGCTCAACATTAACACGCCATTTTGCTTATAACTATCAGCTGGCGCTGAGACGGTTCCCAGCAGATCACCGAAGTCAAGCATCACTGGCTGCGGTCAGTGTGCGAGTGGGTGACCACTTGGATCAGCCTGCGTAGGGAGCGAGGGTGTGCGGTATTGGTCCTCGTTAAACTGTTCTACCGTAAAGTGCTCGAATGCGCGTGCAGGTCGCCGGGCTACCGAAGTGGGGGTGCCATCCCCTCTTCAGAGGATCAAAATTGTGATGGCATGTCTTCGGATCATCCTCAGGGATGTTTCCCAGACCGTCGCCAATAGCCCATCGTGCAGCTCTAGTGCGACGTAAATGAACAACAACAACTGTTCAAAATAATATGAAAATATGTCGATTACAATTTTTAGTCCTTTTTGCTATTTTATCATTAAATAAAAGCATTGCGAAACTAGCTAGTTATAACCCAATTTCATCAGTTATTATGAATTATCGATACGACGTATTTTTACTGTCGTTAAAAAACAGAATAAAATCTGATACAACAAAGATTTGAAACATACACGCATTTAACGCATTATTTATAAACGCAACGTACGAAATGAGTTTTTTAATGCTTTATTGTGCCAAAGTGAATCCACAAGAAAGTTTGAAATAGAAGGAAAAGAAGTCTTTAGCGTTTTTACACGCACTTTTCTTTTTGTCAATTTTCAGGAAAAAATTAGAAAAATAATCAAAATTATCAACTTGGAGGACAAGCACTCAAAAATTTTAATAATCATTAACACTGAAGAAAGTTTGTTTTTACAAAGGCACACATTTATTGCATTATTTATAAATATTATTTTTAAAAAGAAAAAATATTTCTAAACTTGACAGCATTATTGATGATGACATTTTGTTTCCTCTTTTATTACAGATTAAAAGAAGGTTGGACAGAGAATTGACGCCTAAGCTCAGAGCTGACGAGAGCTTATATCTTAGATTTTTACGAGGTATTCATAAAATAACTGTTTATTTATTAATTCAAAGTCATCGTGGAATAGTAGTTGTTTAAGAATTATATCATATTACTATTTGCATTTTTTCCCCAATAGTTTTTTCCTCGAGTAGATAAAAAAGAATTTATTTGTTGAAAGTTAAAAAAAATATGTTGTTTAACACTCTTCGCGAAGCTGTAAATAAAAGGAAACTCCATTTTCGTTGTTCAAAAAAAATTTAATCGTTTATTTGATGATATAGGAAGTGAATAAAAGATAAGAACAAGAAGCAACTTGATAAATCCGCTTATTAGTAAATAAAAGAGGCGATTTTTTTTTTAAAGAAAAATTTCTTAAAACACTAAAATAAATACTATTAAAAATATCCAGAGATATTAATAAACCATTCCCTAGTTTTTATGTATCATGGGTTTGTCCAGGCCAAATTTACTACCGTTTAGAGGTACCTACACAAATTCAACTTTCACAAAATACTTTTTCTTAAAATTTTATTTTCGTATCCTGTAAGAAACGATAAATCCGTATTTTTACCATAATTTTGTGTTGATTTTTAATATAATTTTTAATTTTCACAAATTATGTCTAAATTTACACAAAATAGGTAACTTTCAGAAAAACCTAGACAGACCGCTGTGTTTATTCTTTTTTCATTGTAAATATTTTTAATTATATTTAATTTTTAAACAAATTACGATGACATTAAAATGCTTTATTTTATATAATATAAAGAATGATCTAATGTGAATTAATTATTTTGATAGCTCGAGATTTCAAAGTTAATCTAGCAGAAGATATGTTGCGCAAAGTAAGTAATATTATATGAAGTTATTTACATGGTTATACATTTGCTGAAGGGCTCTTAAAATATAGCGTAAGCATATTTTTAACAATTTTGGTCTCTTCACTTATCGGCAAAAATGAGCAAATCACCCTCTCGTAAGACAAAGTACGCACCCGCCCCTATATTTTGCTTTTGAATTTTGACTTCAGTGATGATCTAATTTTGGAATTAAATTCAAATTGGAGAAAGAACTTTACTTATTACAAATTTTTCGGTTAATTTTATAAAATTTGAGTACTTTTAAGAACCTTTGTGCTCGAAATTCTTGACCTCCAAAATTTCAAATTTATCCGTTGCTCTTGTCATTTTTCGCTAACTTTTTTTATTTTGCTATATACGTCCACATTACTGACATCAGTCCTCCCTTTGCTGGGTGCTTATAGTTTGTCTAAAGCAAGAACTCCCCTAGCCATTCGTCTGAACCCATGGCGGTGGCTATGGTAACGAGGTGTAACTATCTCAAGTAGGGGTGCGGGTTCATTGTTTAGGGCAGGTTTTGGCTCGTGTTGACGAGAGAAATGGAATCTTTTTCTTCAGTCTACTGTGCTAGCCCTAGAGTGCACTGTGGGCCAGAAGACCATAATCTTTGGCCAAAAGTCAAAAATTAAATTTTCAACTAAAATATGTGTAGTTTGTTTTAATATAGCCCAAATTAGGTATTCATAATCATTCCAAACATTATAATTTACTTTTTGGACTGACAAGAGTACAATGTAATGAAAAATATGTTTAAAAAAGTTTTTTTAATGTTACTTTTAAATTTTTATTTCAGAAATATATATAAGAATTTCACCTTACTGTTACATTTTTATCAGAATAATTAGTCTGAAATTATAGTACAATTTTTCAATTTGTTGGATTAGTTAATACTCTTGACAAACTTATAGTTTATATCTTATCATTTGACATTTTACAATGTTTGAATGCCTTTCGAAACTTAGTTCCAAAAAAATCCACGAGGTAATTAGCTAAACTTTTTTTGTTGTCTTCTTTGATGTTTCTTCCTTCGAAAAAACCTGCTCCATTTTGCCCGTATTGCAAAGGTGGACTAAATATATCGAAAAACAAAAATTATGTTTTTTTTTTCATGTTTTCGCGTCATTTTGTAATATTACTTGTGGAAATATAATTTGCTTTTCATTTTTAATCTAAAATTACGAAAATTATTATATTTTCATTGCTATATTTAATTATTTAAACGTACTATATAATTTTTTTTCTTTTTGCTCGCCGTATTTCATCCGCCATTTTGTTTTTTGGGGTATTTTTAGTGCCTTTCTAAATTTCAACTAGGAATTCAATTTACCTGCACATAAAAACAAAAAAATTTTGAAATAAATTTTATCGATAAATTTTTAATCGATAAATTCGTCAATGCGAGTCATCAAGTGCAAATAAATTTAACTGTTTTTTTTATTTTATATATNATGAAAATAAATTATGAGATGATAACTTAGGATTACGCAACGGAGAAGTTCTCATCTATTATTTTGCTTGAATTTTAATACTGAAAAGAAAATATTAAAATATGCAAATGAAAATAAATTATGAGATGATAACTTAGGATTACGCAACGGAGAAGTTCTCATCTATTATTTTGCTTGAATTTTAATACTGAAAAGAAAATATTAAAATATGCAAATGAAAATAAATTATGAGATGATAACTTAGGATTACGCAACGGAGAAGTTCTCATCTATTATTTTGCTTGAATTTTAATACTGAAAAGAAAATATTAAAATATGCAAATGAAAATAAATTATGAGATGATAACTTAGGATTACGCAACGGAGAAGTTCTCATCTATTATTTTGCTTGAATTTTAATACTGAAAAGAAAATATTAAAATATGCAAATGAAAATAAATTATGAGATGATAACTTAGGATTACGCAACGGAGAAGTTCTCATCTATTATTTTGCTTGAATTTTAATACTGAAAAGAAAATATTAAAATATGCAAATGAAAATAAATTATGAGATGATAACTTAGGATTACGCAACGGAGAAGTTCTCATCTATTATTTTGCTTGAATTTTAATACTGAAAAGAAAATATTAAAATATGCAAATGAAAATAAATTATGAGATGATAACTTAGGATTACGCAACGGAGAAGTTCTCATCTATTATTTTGCTTGAATTTTAATACTGAAAAGAAAATATTAAAATATGCAAATGAAAATAAATTATGAGATGATAACTTAGGATTACGCAACGGAGAAGTTCTCATCTATTATTTTGCTTGAATTTTAATACTGAAAAGAAAATATTAAAATATGCAAATGAAAATAAATTATGAGATGATAACTTAGGATTACGCAACGGAGAAGTTCTCATCTATTATTTTGCTTGAATTTTAATACTGAAAAGAAAATATTAAAATATGCAAATGAAAATAAATTATGAGATGATAACTTAGGATTACGCAACGGAGAAGTTCTCATCTATTATTTTGCTTGAATTTTAATACTGAAAAGAAAATATTAAAATATGCAAATGAAAATAAATTATGAGATGATAACTTAGGATTACGCAACGGAGAAGTTCTCATCTATTATTTTGCTTGAATTTTAATACTGAAAAGAAAATATTAAAATATGCAAATGAAAATAAATTATGAGATGATAACTTAGGATTACGCAACGGAGAAGTTCTCATCTATTATTTTGCTTGAATTTTAATACTGAAAAGAAAATATTAAAATATGCAAATGAAAATAAATTATGAGATGATAACTTAGGATTACGCAACGGAGAAGTTCTCATCTATTATTTTGCTTGAATTTTAATACTGAAAAGAAAATATTAAAATATGCAAATGAAAATAAATTATGAGATGATAACTTAGGATTACGCAACGGAGAAGTTCTCATCTATTATTTTGCTTGAATTTTAATACTGAAAAGAAAATATTAAAATATGCAAATGAAAATAAATTATGAGATGATAACTTAGGATTACGCAACGGAGAAGTTCTCATCTATTATTTTGCTTGAATTTTAATACTGAAAAGAAAATATTAAAATATGCAAATGAAAATAAATTATGAGATGATAACTTAGGATTACGCAACGGAGAAGTTCTCATCTATTATTTTGCTTGAATTTTAATACTGAAAAGAAAATATTAAAATATGCAAATGAAAATAAATTATGAGATGATAACTTAGGATTACGCAACGGAGAAGTTCTCATCTATTATTTTGCTTGAATTTTAATACTGAAAAGAAAATATTAAAATATGCAAATGAAAATAAATTATGAGATGATAACTTAGGATTACGCAACGGAGAAGTTCTCATCTATTATTTTGCTTGAATTTTAATACTGAAAAGAAAATATTAAAATATGCAAATGAAAATAAATTATGAGATGATAACTTAGGATTACGCAACGGAGAAGTTCTCATCTATTATTTTGCTTGAATTTTAATACTGAAAAGAAAATATTAAAATATGCAAATGAAAATAAATTATGAGATGATAACGTAGGATTACGCAACGGAGAAGTTCTCATCTAATATTTTGCTTGAATTTTAATACTGAAAAGAAAATATTAAAATATGCAAATGAAAATAAATTATGAGATGATAACTTAGGATTACGCAACGGAGAAGTTCTCATCTAATATTTTGCTTGAATTTTAATACTGAAAAGAAAATATTAAAATATGCGAATGAAAATAAATTATGAGATGATAACTTAGGATTACGCAACGGAGAAGTTCTCATCCAATATTTTGCTTGAATTTTAATACTGAAAAGAAAATGTTAAAATATGCAAATGAAAATAAATTATGAGATGATAACTTAAGATTGCGCAACGGAGAAGTTCTCATCTAATATTTTGCTTGAATTTTAATACTGAAAAGAAAATATTAAAATATGCGAATGAAAATAAATTATGAGATGATAACTTAGGATTACGCAACGGAGAAGTTATCATCTAATATTTTGTTTGAATTTTAATATTTTGAAGTATTTTTTTTTCAGCAATTAAAACGTCAGGACTTACTCTAGGTCTGAACTCACTTTTTCTTTCCTTTAAATTTTTAATGAAGAAGAATTTGCAAGGAAAATTTTCTTCCTCGGTATGGCGTCCTCTTAACATATCAAAGTATACCCTTTGTAAATAGAGCGAGCTTTTCAAGGTTATGCTGTTTCTCTAAGCACCGTTACCATAGTTTCGGCTAAACTTACTCTCTCCCCACGACCCGACTTGTCAAAACAACGAAAAAGGAGAGGGGGGAAATGTGGAGAGTGAGAAAATCACGTAACCTTGAGAAACCAATTCTATTTTACGAAGAATATAGTCGCAAGAGACGGGTGATTTGAGGGAATATTTTCAAAAGGCGTGACGTCACGAAACGTCGTAACAAATCAATTTCTTACTTGACTTGTATTTGAACAATTCAATTATAACAACATAAAAATTTTGACAACATAAAAAAAAATTTTTTCACTTGTTCTAATTTAACAATTTTAAAAGCAATTTCAACTCATACTTTATACATAAATATTGTTATTATTCTATTCTGAATCCTTGTCAAAAAATTATGCTCATGGGAATTCTTTTAGAGAAAAATAAACTTTTATCTAAATCTGATAAATTACTATTGAAGAAAACGAGATTAAAATCATCAAAACCGAAAATGTTTCTAATGTAACTACCGTTTTAGTAATAAATATAATAAACCACTTTTAACCACTATTTTTTTTTCGGTTCTAGTATCAATAGTGTTCTTTTATTTTTTAAAAATTTTTGACCATGTTTTGAAAATATTTTCTATTAATAAAGAAAATCTTCAATTTGTATCTCTACAATGTAGACAAAGTTCATTGACTTAAGTTTGAAAAAAATTCTCAGATTTAATATCTGAGAGAGTTAAAACAGTTTTTAGATACTTTTACACGAATAAAATAATAGGTTGATTTTCAATTAATTTATAACTTTTAACTATATTTTTTGACCATTTTTTGGTTTTAAAAAAAATTTATATTAATAAAGGAAATCTTGAATTTGTATCTACAATTTAGACAAAGTTAATTGACTTAAGTTAGAGAGTTAAAACAGTTTTTGCGAACTTTTACACAAATAAAATAATAGGTTGATTTTCAATGAATTTATAATTTTCAACTATATTTTTTGACCATGTTTTGGTTCTAAAAAAAATTCTATTTATAAAGAAAATCTTGAATTTGTATCACTACAATTTAGACAAAGTTCATTGATTTAAGTTAGAGAGTTAAAACAGTTTTTGTGTACTTTTACACAAATAAAATAATAGGTTCATTTCTAATTAATTTATAATTTTTAAATATATTTTTTGACCATGCTTTGGTTTAAAAAAAATTTCTATAAATAAAGAAAATCTTGAATTTGTATCTCTAATATTTAGACAAAGTTCATTGTTTTAAGTTAGAGAGTTAAGACAGTTTTTGCGTACTTTTACACAAATAAAATAATAGGTTGATTTTTAATTAATTTATAATTTTTAAATATATTTTTTGACCATGTTTTGGTTTTAGAAAAAATTCTATGAATAAAGAAAATCTTGAATTTGTATCTCTACAATTTAGACAAAATTCATTGATTTAAGTTAGAGAGTTAAAACAGTTTTTGTGTACTTTTACACAAATAAAATAATAGGTTGATATTTAATTTTTAACTATATTTTTTGACCATGTTTTAAATTAAAAAATATTTCTATTAATAAAGAAAATCTTGAATTTGTATCTCTACAATTTAGACAAGGTTCATTGATTTAAGTTAGAGAGTTAAGACAGTTTTTATGTACTTTTATGCAAATAAAATAATAGCTTGATTTTCAATGAAACCTATCTTTATTTTATGTTATTCATTAAATGTTTTCCTTTTACAGGTAACTGAGGAGTACTTGCCTCTGTCAAGAATCGGATTTGATAAAGAGGGACATCCTGTACGATTTTTCCATTTTGGTCCTGCTGACAGTAAAGGTTCGTCATTAAAAATGTCACATGTTCAAATAACTTAATCTGCTTTGACGCGTTTGCACCAAATCTCCATTGCAATACGTATTACGTGCATACTCGTGGTGTGAAATTTAAAAAAAAAACACTCAAAATTGTATTTCCTTTATACTACCAACAGAACTGTTAAATATTTTATGCTGTGTGACTGTGACAGGGGGCTGCTCATGGACCAAAGTAAATTCCATATAGTTTGTCTAAAATAAGAACTCCTCCAGATATTCGTCTGAACCTGTGGCGGTGACTATGGTAACGAGGTATGACTATTTCAAGTAGGGGTGCGTGGTCACTGTTTTGGAGTGGTTCCGGTAAAAGGGAATCTCTTTCTTCAGTTTATGGTGTTAGTCCTAGAGTGAAGACACCCTCCTTAAAATGCGCCATTCTTGTTTCCATAGCACCAGACGGCCTCAGACTTTGTGGCGTGAGGAGTTCTTAGCTTAGACAGACTATACCTAAGCCGTAACTTGGACGGCGAGCGTCTTGGTTTACGGAAAATTTGCATAAACAATTAGCAGGGCCAGTGGTCGGAAGTAGTACGCTACAAGTAGCAAAACTACAGCAGCTGCTAGTTTTTCTCGTAGTTTGTTGAGTAGTGTACAACTTTTTTTAAAAAAAGCAAAAAAAAACGAAAGTAGTGTAGTGAATACACGCGTGATAAGAAAAAGAACAATTGTTGCCATTCCTTGTAACTACTTTTAACGTTAGTGTAGTAACGATGCACGGTTCAAACGAGACTAATTTTTCGAACGTGATTGGTCCAAACCTTCTCGGGTCCGTCAAAGGACGCGATGAGAATACCCCTGTAGCCGAGCGTTAAGAAAAATTATGTACTACTAATATTTAAACAAGTCATTGCGAATAATGGCTGATAGCCACACCTTCAACAAATGTAAATGTGCCCTCATGAAACTTTGATGGTATTATATGGTAACATATGGTAACATATTTTCTCTGTAATTATCGATGTCTTTTATTTCTTAAAGAAAATAAAAGAGCATTTAGCACTTAACAAGACAGCAAACATCCGATAATCTAGCATTTAAATTAAATATTAGTTGTCGAGAAAGACGTAAGAAAGTTAAAAGAACAAATTTACTAAAAAATTGTTTAGAATAACAATCTGACTCGTGTAAACATGAACAAATATTTCTGAATGCTTAAATAAGCTTTTTTTTCTTTTAAGTTTCTAAACGTTTTGAACATGGTTGTAAATTAAGTTCTCCGGCAAAGTTCGTCTCCAAAATGAGTGTGGATTTTTTCAAATTAAATTCCGTAATAGAAGACTACATTAGAGTAAATTTGATTGAAGTAATCATGCCTAAACAGAAAAAAATCTGCAGTTTGTGTATTTTTGTTCTCATTTCAGGTATATTGAAATCCGCTAAAAAAAATGACGTCATTAAAACTATCATTTCATGGTTTGAAGACGATGTTAGAGTCATGAAAGAACAAAGTAAAAAAGTAAGTGACTGTTAATCTTATAAAATGAGCACTCTTTCAAATACTGACAAAAGAGTAGCTTTTTAAGAGTGCCACTGACTGTTGCCCTATCTTAAAAAATGAGTTCAGATAGTTCTTTAAAGTTTTAAATACTGAAAAATATTTTTTTTTAATTAAATGGTTTGCATTTGATTTGAGAAATTATGGATATGCTTTCAGTTATATGGAATTTTTGAAAACACATGCAAGAAATAATTTTAAAACAGTATTAGAATAAAGTAAAAATTGGGAATAAAAATAAGCTGGATCACCTTAAAAAACACCATTCTTTTATACTTTCCGTTGTTATTTAACCTTTTCACCGGCTATTCCAAGGTTAAGCAGGTTTAAATATTACTGCTTGTATTTTAAATTTTTTTCACGCGTTGTTGCAATTGAAAAGGTGCAGATGATTCTAATTTTAAAAAATATCTGACGATATCACCAAAAACGTATAATTAAATGTTAAAAAATTTCGTTCTATTTTTATCTAATAGTTTCGAATTTTCTCCTCTGAACAAATATATTTTACTGACTAAAATAGTTTAAAATAAGCTGCTGCAATTGAAAAAAATAGTAAAGAATTTATTATTTTAAGAAAGTAGATAGAAAAAATTGCAGCCCTAAATAAACGAGGAAAACAATGTCTTCGAAACATCGTTTACTACATTTTAGTAAACGATGTTTCGATGTAAGTGACCCACTCGCTTACTGACAGCAGCCAGAGATGCTCGACTTCAATGTTCCACTGGGAACCGTGTCTTTACGATCAGTCCACTAAGGGACTAATAATAATAAAAAATGAACAAAACAAACAAAGCACATCCAGTTTAGCAAGGTTAAGTATTTCAGCCCATTATGGATCAGGGAGTCGTTGAATTAGGGCATAATAGGGAGTACAGTAGAAGTCCATTAGTCCGGCATCCAACAGTCCGGAATGTCCGATAGTCCGGCATCGCTCCGGAAAATTTTAAAATTTTTTGTTTTCTCCAAAAGTGTGTCTTTAAAGCAAATAAAAACGCTCGAGAGCTATTCGGAAGTTTTCGGGGTAGTTCGAGATCATCCGGAAGAGCTCGGTACTAAAGCCATCCATCTTTTGGACAATTGCAAAGCCCACCCGCCAGTAGATGAGTCAGTTTCTGGAAATATTGTTGCTACTCTCCTCCCACCTAACGTAACATCTTTGATTCAACCCATAGGTTATTCAAAATCTTAAATGCTTTTATAGAAGATCTTTTATTCAAGGCCTGTTAAATGCCGACTGTGAAGTGACTGATTTTCAAAAAAAGTTTGCAGTAAAAGATGCCGTCTATGCTATTGCACTGTCTTGGAACCAGGTAAAAAATACAACACTCCAAAAATGCCAAAAGTCAAGAAAACAAAAAGACATTCGTGACTTTTTTAAAACTAAGTGAAATATGTTTTACAGTACGTGTACATACATTATATGAAATGTAAAATAAACTTTGTTGTATGTATTTGCTAGTTTAATTATTAACCTAATTGTTCGTATAATTACCGCCCGATAGACCGGAATTTTCGGTAGTCCGGCACCGAGCCGGTCCCGAACGTGCCGGATTATCGGACTTCTACTGTATTTCCCAAACAACCCATCGATTTACAAGAGAATCAGACCTTCAGCTGAGAGATACACTCCAGAGAATTTTATATTTAAGAATGATTTGATACTTCTTACAATAATGAGTCACATTATTATAGTTGTAAAAATATCTTCTTTTTTTTGCAGCTAGGAAAGCCAGTTCAACGATGGACATACATAATAGATTTTCAATCTTACACTTTCGCACAAGCAACCCATAAACCTTGTAAATATGTTTAATATTTTTTGTTATAATTCGGTACTGCATTTATAAAATGATGAGCACTGAGATAAGTAGAAGTTCGTCTACATTTTAATCAGTGCTTCCAAATTATCGTAATGTGCGGTTAATTATGAATATCGAAAATTGCATTTAAATAGACCCAAATTGAATTGTTTTCTCGCCAGTTTTGTTGCCAAATTAGCATATGATTATAGAACAGCCATTCCATGGCCTGCTTGGATGTAAATTTCGACAATGGCTATTAAAAAAACATTAATATAATTTAGATGAATAAAAGTAGTGATTAAAATCCTCATGAACAGCCTGCTCATACTCATAACAGGAAGGGATGCCTAGAGTAGAACGATGGCATGTTTAATCGGTTGTTATGCAATTCTCAATCTCAATCCTTATAATATACTTTACCTTCCCCACCGCCTGTATACATAACCAGGGGCATAGAAGAAAGAATGAGCAGTATAATATGTAAACACACACACACACACATATATATACATATATATATATGTTTTTTGAGACAAGAGCCTCTCTGTGGCCCAGGCTAGAGTGCAGCGG